CTGAGAGGCTGAGGTAGGTGGATGACAAGTTTTAGCCTAGAGAGACCTGTCTTGAAATATAAATAAATAAATAAATGGGCTGGGAATGTAGCTCAATGTGAAGACCCAGGGGTTCAATCTCCAGTACAAAAAAAAAAAAATCCAACATGGCCAATTTTGTTTTCTCTATTTTATCACAATTTTTTTTTTTTTTTTTTTTTTTGGTCTTTTTGAGGACAGCGTCTCTTTATGCAGTTCAGTCTGGCCTTGAGCTCATTTTGTAGCTCAGGTTGGCCTCAAACACACAACAATCCTCCTGCCTCAGCCTTCCGAGTGCGGGGATTACAGGTGGGCACCACCACGCCGGGCCACAATTTTTCAAAAATGACCTGTGTCATACCAAAACCACAGTGAATCGTACACTGAGAACCGATGAACTAATCATATTGGCGCGAGCTCAGTAGCTTGAGAAACAGAAGTAACACTGTGAGTGCAGCTCAAGGGTAGAGCGCTTGCTTAGCGTGCGCGAGGCCTGGGCTCCAACCCAGCCCCAAAACAGTATCAGTTCTGTCCCAGTCCTGGAGCTCCAAAGTCCAAAGTGAGTCCAGCAGGCTGCAGTCGGGTGTGAGCAGGCACGTGCTCCATCCTGGAGTCTTGAGGGGAAAATCTGGTCCCTGTGCCTTCCAGCTTCCAGAAGCCACCTGCAGTCCTCTCCTCACCGCCCCCACCCAGCTATGACCCCCACCCCTTATGAGGACCCTGTGGTCACCCAGGTAACGTGGGGTCATCACCCCATGGCCAGAGCCTCATTGCATCTGCAAACTCTCTTGGCCAAGTTCCCTCACAGAGTCACCGGGCCCAGGGATTGAGATCCCAATATTTGGGGGCAGTAGACTCTCTGCTGTCCAGCCTTGGCCTCTGCTCCTCTGCTCAGGCCTCAGGGCTGAGGCAGCCTCCTGCAAGTCTCACTCACACTCAGGCAGCAAACATGCACCCAGAGCAACGCTGCTGTCTGTGGCAGGCCCTGTGCAGGACGCTCCTCTTGTGAGACCATGGTGGAGCTGAAGAACACCTAGGGACAGTGTCACCTTTATAACCCCACAGCACAACCAGTTATATCAAAGTATAGCAACAAGCTGGGCACGATGGTGAGAGCCTGTAATCCTAGCACTCAGGGAGGCTGAGGCAGGAGGATCTCAAGTTCAAAGTCAGCCTGGGCAATTTATCAACCTAGCGAGACCCTGTCACAAAATAAAAAATAAGAAAAAGGGCTGGGGATATTGCTCAGGATGAAGGTCATACGTTCAATCCCCAGTAGTGGAAAGAAGAAAAAAAGATATCTATTGTATGATATCATTCTTATGGAATGTACAGAACAGTCAAATCCATAGAGATAGAAACAGAGTAGCGGCTGCCTGCTGGGGGCAGGAGGAGGAGGGAACCGGAAGCAGCTGCTTAATGGGTTCAAGGTTTCCCTCTGGAGGATAGGAATGTTCTGGAATTAGACAGCACCAATGGCTGCCCAGCACTGCGACCCTAGTGAGTGCCTCAGAATTGGATCCTTTCATCAAGATGGTAGGGGGTTTTGTTTGTTTGTTTTTTGTTTTGTTTTGTTTTGTTTTGTTGTCTTTTTGAGACAGGGTCTCGCTATGCAGTTCAGGCTGACCTTGAGCTCACTTTGTAGCCCAGGCTGGTCTCGAACTCACAATGATCCTCCTGCCTCAGCCTCCCGAGGGCAAGATGGTAGGTCTTATGGGTGCTTTACCACAGTGAAAAATAATTTTTCATTCTTTATGGAAAAAAAATATCTTTCTGGTCCCTTGTTGACTGGCAGAACTTTCAGAAACAAATTGAAATTGTGAGCCAAAGGATGAATTCTATAAAAAGGGGATGATGAGGACGCGTCAACCACAAGGGCAGAAGCTGGCAGCTGGTATTAAAAACAAGGACCTGGATGTTCTGGTTCTCCCCCAGGAACCCTCTGTGGGCTCAGCCCTGCTTCTCCCGGTTTATTCTGCCTTCCTCCACACCCTGGCATCATCTTCCAGTCAGTGCCAAGATGGCTGCTGTGCTCCCGTCAGAGAAGCAGCCATCCCTTCCTGCGTGAACCTCTAGGAGTAGTTTCCTTTCCCAGCAACATCCTCTCTGATCTCATTGGCCAGCACTGTCCACCACTCAACCAATCCCTGGCCAGAAGAATGGGATGGGGTGAAAACAGGATGAAGGTTGCTAGTAACTAACGCCCACCTCTGGGTAGCTGCAAGATTGAACTTTGTTCTGTTCCTTTGGGTATTATCTATAATGTGCTATAATAAATCTGGACTCTTTTTTTGTACTGCGAATTGAACCCAGGGCATTCACACCGAGCCACATTCCCCAGTCTTTTTTTATTTTGATACAGACTCTTAGTAAGTTACCCAGGCTGGGCTTGAACTTGTGATCCTCCTGACTCAGCCTCCCAGAGTGGTCAGGTTACGGAGGGAGAGGAGTCTCTTCTTTTTAATAATGCAAAGAAAAGAGAGAGAGAGAGAGAGAGAGAGAGAGAGAGAGAGAGAGAGAGAGAGAGAGAGAGATAGATCAGTAGCTAGACAGATAGACACAGAGAGAGAGAATCTCCAGCAACTGGAAAATCTAGAACAGCTGGCTTTGCCATATGTTCTGCCCAGAAATAACTGCTGGAGTGTGCCAACCTGTCCCTGGCACACACACAGGAAATCACAGAACTAGAGCAAGGAGGATGGGGGGCACGGGCACCCCAGGTGACCACCAAGAAACCTCGCAGCTTGGGGAGGCGGGGCAGGTCCAAGACCAAGCTCAGAGGCGCTGGTACCAGGCACAGGGGCGCCGGGTCCTGCGGCTGTCTGGCTGCTGCTCCCCGCAGCCCTGTGAGGCGGCAGCCGTAGCTCCACACCCAGGGAGGAAACTGAGGCTCACAGAAGCGGAAGAGCCTTGGAGTCTGCAGCTGTTCAGTCCCCCTGGGCCACGTCAGCATTCAGGTACCTCACCCGCCCCGACCTGGGGACAACCTGACACCACAACCTCTGGGCAGTGGCAGCATCTCCAGGACACGCACAATGGTGCTGACACCTCGAGCCCCAACTCAGCGTGCCCTTCCGCTGGGCCCCAGACATCACCAGGGCAGCCAGCCTGGCACTGCCCACCCCAGAGCTCCACACCAACACCCCCACCCGCTTATAAACTTCAGGAACGATGAAGGCAACATTCCCTCTCCGTGCTGGCCAGTGTGACAGACACTAACCACACGGCACTGGTAAGCGGCTAGCAGTGTGAGGGACTCAAATTGTTCCATGCTTCTGGTGGCGCGCACCTGGAATCCCCGCACCTGGGAGGCTGAGACGGAAGGGTCACTGTAGTTGGAGGAGAGCCTGAGATACACAGTGAGTTGAAGGCCAGCCTGAATTACACAGCAAGACCCTGTCTCCAAAAAAAAGTATATTTAAGTATACAGAAAGCATATTAAATATATTAAATAAAATATACATTTCAAATGGCATTTTTTTACATTTTAAGTGGCTATTTAAATTAACATTAATTAATTGTAATTATTATCGTAGCAGATGGTTACAATTTTAGATAGCTCAAGCCCGGACCCTCCACCACCCAAGCCCTGTCCCAACACAGTTCAAAGCCAGGCAGGGCTAGCTCAGAGGCACAGCGCCTGCCTGGCAAGCGCAAGGTCGTGAGTTCGATTCCTGGTACTGGAAAAAAAAAAAGCCAGGCAGGACACCATGGCCAGTGATTGCAGTCGCAGTCACTCTGCAGCCCCACCTGGGCAGCTTAGTCAGACCTGTCTTGTCTGAAAAATTAAAAATAAAGGACTAGGGATGTGGCTCAGCCCTCTCTAAGTGCAAGCTCCAAAACTGGGGGAGGGGGGGCAACAGGCACAATTAATCCTCCCCACCTCCCCAGCCTGGTACCCGCATGGTGTGTACACACACGCACACGCACACACGCATGCCTGGACCTGACACTCCGCCCTCCAGCTGCCCAAGCCCAAGAGTGTGCAGCTTGCTCAATAGCCCTGGCCGGCTGTCTCAGCTTCCACCTCTGCCTACACCGTCACACAGCCTGAACGCTCTCCCCGCCCCACCCCACCCTTCATCTGTCCCATTTCTGTGCCATCCCAGGTCTCAGCTAAGCTGTCACCTCTTCCAGGAAGCCCTCCCAGCCATCAGGCCAGGTAGGCATCGCTTGGGCTCTCTCCGGCCACTGGGATGACCCCTCCAGGTCCCCGTTGCCTGGGTCTGCTGCAGGACAGTGAGCCCTCTGAGCACTGGGAGCCGACCAGAGGCCTCCGTCATCACTGTCCCACGTGAATGGACACAGGGAACACATGCTGGAATGAATGAATGAATAAATGCATGCTTTTGAAAAAATTAAGAAGCCAGACATGGTGGGACATGTCTATAATCCCGGGACTCTGGGAGGATGAGGCAGGAGGATCACAAGCTCAAACACAGCCTGAGTGACTTAGCAATTTAGCAAGATCCTGTCTTTAATTTAAAAAGCAAAGAAAACCCAGGCATGGTGGCTGATGCCTGCAATCCCAGCACTCAGGAGGTTGAGGCAGGAGGATCATTGCGAGTTTGAAGCCAGCCTCCACTACAAAGTGAGTTCAAGGCCAGCCTGAAGTACATAGCAAAACCCTGTCTCAAAAAGACAAATAAATAAAACAAAGAAAGGGCTGGGGATGTAGCTCAGTGCAAAAGCCCTGCATTCAATCCTAGTACTAAAGGAAGAAAAAAAAGGTGAAGTACTTTAGAGTGAGCCAGCCATGGGTGCAGCACCACCTCTACCTCTCCCCCTCGGAAGACATGCATGTCTCCCTAGGCCTCAGTCTCCCTGTCTGTGAAATGGGCACAGTGCTGTGCAGCGCCTGTCATGAGAAATTGTATGGCAGAGGATTGCTCAACCAGAGGCTGTGGTGACAGTGGCTGTGATCACCAACAGTCCTGCTGAGTAGGAAGGAAAGATGGAAGGGACCAAGCAAGAACCAGGGGAAGCCTGGCAAGTTCCCAGCCACCTTGAGAAACTGGTTCAGCCAGTGTCTGCGCCGCTGCCCTCCCAGTGCACAAGTCCGGCTGTGGGAAGTGGTGTGGAGGCTGGGCTGGCCTCAGTGGTCTTGGGGACCTCCCTCCCGGGACCTCCACTGGGCTAGGCTGCTTCAGAGAGCCAGGACTGGCACTCTGGCCCCCTTGGCATCTGGCCATGGCCCTTCGCATCTCCATAGGACCTAAGACGGAGACTCCTGCGGGAGCCCTGGGCCGCTTTTCAGTGGGGCTCCTGCTGTCAGGTAAGGAGGGGACAGCCCTGGAGGGCTGAGGGACACAAGGGCAGAGATTGATTAGTGATGTCTGCCCTGCATGTAGGCATGGGAAAATGGGTACTGATGCCACAGATTTGCCATCCCATTGGTCCAGAAGATTCTTCTGCCCTGAGATGCTACATGGCCTGCCCTGAAATGCTTCGACTTTCTGAATCCATCCATCCATCCATCCATCCATCCATCCGTCCATCCATCCATCCATGCAACCAGTACTTATAATGTATATAATATATATTATACATTTTAATGATACAAATAAGAACTGCCATACCAACCAACCACTCTAGTGCTATATATAGAATAAAACTTCCTAGATTTCTCAGCAGTGAGATATAGCAGAGAACTGAAACAAATAAATTCCTGTCCTTATGGGCCTAACATTCTAGAAAATTCCAAAAACAAAAACAACAAAAGGAAAATTCCATGGGTAAAAGGAAGACAGCCAGGTGTGGTTGTGCACACCTGTAAGCCCAGCACTTGGGAGGCCGAGGCAGGAGGATTGCCACAAATTTGAGGCCAGTCTGTGCTACATAGGGAGTTCAAGACCAGCCTAAACTATAGAGACCCTGTCTCAAAAAACAAAGACACAAAAAAAGAGGATGAAGTTATGATTCCACTGCCCCGCCCATGCTACTGTGATCGTTTCCTCTCCCCACATCTCCTCTCCCCTTCTGGGGAAGCTTCTGGGCAGGCCATGTAGCATCTCAGGGCAGAAGAATCTTCTGGACCAATGGGATAGCAAATCTGTGGCATCAGTACCCATTTTCCCATGCCTACATGCAGGGCAGACATCACTAATCAATCTCTGCACTGCTCCCAGCACACAGTGCTTGGAGTTCTTGCCCCAGATGAGGCTCTATGGGGAGGGGAATGGTGTAGCCCTGCCCAGCACTCCCCATCTCAGGCTGTCCCCATAACTTTCTCCAGCCTCAGTCCTGGCCCTCTGGCTGCCCCAAGGTGCCCGGGCAGCTCTCCACATACGGAAGATTCCAGAGCAGCCTCGAAAGAACCAGAACCTCCTCCTGTCCGTCCAGGGTGTCCCCAGCACCTTTCAGGACTTTATCTGGTACCTGGGGGAGGAGGCCGATGGAGGCACGAGGCTGTTCACCTACATCCCCGAGCTCCAGCGGCCCCAGAGGGACGGCAGCGCTATGGGTCAGCGAGACATCGTTGGCTTCCCCAATGGCTCCATGCTGCTGAGGCATGCCCAGCCTTCGGACAGCGGCACCTTCCAAGTCGCCATCACCGTCAACCCCTCCTGGACCATGAGGGCCAAGACCCAGGTCCGGGTGGCCGGTGAGTGTCAGGGGCCTGGGCGGAGGTGGGAAAGCTGAGGGGCGCAAGGCAGTGCTGTGAGACAGGCCCAGGACAAACCACCATTCATCCGTCCTCCCACCTGCCCCTCAGCACACACTGCCGAGCGCCCCGTGAGTCATTTATCTATATTTTGAGACAGAGTTGCCCATCCTAGGCTCAAACTTGCGATTGTCCTCCCACCTCCCAGAGTGCTAGGGTTATAGGTGTGGGCCACCGTGTGCAAGGTGGTCTCTCCTCCTCAGCACCCTGACATTTCCAACTAGTGAGTATTTTGGAGCAGGGAGCTGTGCTCTGCAGACAAGGTCTGCAGCATCGTGACCCCTGCTCACCACATACCAGTGGCACCTTCTTAGCCGTGACAACCAAAGACATCTCCAGATTTGTCTCCCAGAGCAACATCACCCCTTTTGAGATCCACTGTCCAAGAGTAACTTATTTTTGCCTTCAAACAACTGCCTGAGCCCAGCATGGTGGAGCACACTTGTAACCCTTGGACTCTGGGAGGCTGAGGCAGGAGGACTGCCACTAGTTTGAGGTCAGCCTGGCTTTGAGACCCTGTCTCAAACAAACAAGAAAAGTACATGGGACAGGCATGATGTGGAAAGGAGGGCACAGAAGCAGCCTGACTGGAGAGGTGACACGTGAGGACAAACCAGGAGAAAGTGGTTGAGCAAAGGAGGTGTCATAGCCTGAATATTTGTCCCCTACCCCAAAATTCATACATCAAAATCCTGTCTCAAAAAGGGGGGTCATTGTAGGACAGGCATGGTGATACATACCTGTAACCTGTAATATCAGCTATTCAGGAGGCTGAAGCAGGAAAGCTTCAAGTTCAAGGCTAGCCTGGGCGATTTAGTGAAACCCTGTTTCCGAGTACTCTAAGTTTTTGTTTTGTTTTTTTTTTTTTTTTTGGTCCTTTTTGAGACAGGGTCTCGCTATGCAGTTCAGGCTGGCCTTGAGCTCACTTTGTAGCCCAGGCTGGTCTCGAACTTGCAACGATCCTCCTGCCTCAGCCTCCCAAGCGCTGGGATTACAGGCATGCGCCACCATACCCGGCTAATTTTTTTATGTGCTGGGGATATAGCTCAGTGGTAGAGCTCTTGCCTGAAATGTGTGAGGTCCTGGGTTCCAGACTCACAGAAACAGCAAAATAAAGCACCAGGCATGGTGTCCCATGTCTGTAATCCCAGTGAGAGTCTGAGGCAGGAGGATTGCAGTGAGTCTGAGGCCAGCCTGGGCTACACAGTAAGTTCAAGCCCAGCCTGAGCTATATAACAAGACCCTGTCTCAAAAATAACAAAATAAAAAAAAAAATTTTTTTTAAAGTAGGCTCAGAAGTGCCAGAGAGTTCACGGTCCCTCACTGTGTGTCTCGGGGTCTTCAGGGACCGGGCACAGGCTGCTCTGAGCCTCAGAGCCCTCTGACGCTGACGCCCAAGGCACGTGACCACAGAGCCTGACTCCCCTTTCCTGACCCCCACATGTCCTCTGTGTCCTCCCAGCCATGCAGCAGGACCCCATTTCACAGATGGGGAAACTGAGGCACAGAATTTCAGGAGCTCACCTGGGGCGCCCCCTAGAGAACAGCAGGTGCAGGACTTGAACCCAGGCCGGTGGTTCCACAGCCCAACTCAGAACTGTGCCTTCCCCCTGCCTCGCCCTTCAGGCACCCGAGTGCCCGCAGGGTGGTGTCCGGGCTTCACGTGGTCTTTAGGGAGCGAAGCCAGACAAGCAAGGGTGGGCTGGGGACATCAGCCGTGCTGAGTGTTTGGGCCACTCAGGGGCCACTCGTCAGGGGTTTGGCGTCTCGGGCCTGAAAACTAGAAAGCTCTGGGCCAGAAACGGGGACCTGCACATCAGTGCCCTGTGGATGTCACACATGTGCTGGCCGGGATGTCACACGGCCCTCTCGCCCGCAGAGAAGCAGGAGGACCTGGCCTCCACCGCCGCACACCTGCCCATGAACCCTGGCATCATGGCGGCCGCCATCGCGGGGCCTCTGGCCGCCGGGGCCTTGCTCATCAGCGGCCTTGTCTGCCTCTTGGTTTTGAGAGGCTACAGGGACCAGAGCCCCAGGTATCACCCTGCTGT